TGCGGCGGACGGGCTCCCCGTCACCATCCGGCCGGGGGGGGGGGGGGGGAGAGGGGCGGCGGTACAGCGGCAGGACATACCGTCCAATGCTCTTGAGCAGGCGGAGAGCCGCATCGCAGTAGGTGGACTTGCCGGACCCGGGCGAGCCGATGACGATCTACCGGCAGGGGGGGGGGGGCGGCGGTGGGCGGCGGCGAGAGCAGGCGTTAGGTGAGGCATGCCGAGGGAAATGTTGGCGTGCGCGGACCGGCCACCGGAGAAAACGAACCTGGGCAAATTGCACAGTCCGAAGCCGCTCGCCGTTGGCGTTAACCATCCGGCTACGGTCAGGCAGCGTGGAGAAGTCCATCCTCAGGGGGGGGGGAGGCGCGCAGGCAAGGGGGCAAAGGGGTGTCTCGGTGGGGATGTGTCGGGGTGCAAGAGGGGGCGGGAGGAGGGGGGAGAGGGAGTGGGATGTCCTCCGGGCACCGGGCTCGGGCGCCAGCCCGGCTTCCATGCCGGGGCCTTTTGGACCGAGAACAGTCCAGATCAAGGGTAGATCGTGGTCAACCGGGTGGGGCCTCGGTGGGCGGGCGGGCGGATTCAAAAGCGTGGGAAGTCGGCACCTGAGAGGGTATCACGCGCACTCGGTCTGGACATCTAGATGTATCCCGGGGCTCAGAACGCGCATGCCAGACGGGCCGTGCATTCCCCCCCCCCCCCTTCTCCTGCGTGCTGCGGCCTGGCCGAGGGCCGGGCGCCAGGGCGACGGCCTTCCGCACGGGGCCGCATTCATCCGCGCCCCGGCAAGGGCGGAGCAGGGCCTCAGCCGGCCGGCGGTATGTCTGCCCCTTGCTCGCTCATCACCCCAGCGGGGGGAGCTGGGGGGGGGGGGGAGTGGTCAAGGAGACGCAGCCACGGGGGAGGCAGTTTGCCCGAACCAGCCCCGGCATCGGTCCGCGGCGCCGGTCGGCCAAGGGGGGGGGGGACACCCCGAGACCCGGGGTGGGGAGCGGGCGAGCCTCCACGGCCTCGGCCAGCGGATCTCCCGCCAAGGAGGGCCATACCCCGGGCATGACGTGATGGCTCCCCCTTCCCCCCCCGTCTCCCAGCCCCTGGAAGGGCGTTGAATGTACGCCACAATCGGCGGGCCATGTTTGCGGCTGGTTGACCTCCAGCCGTGTCCCCCCGAGCTCCTGGGGATCCGGTCTCTGTTGTGGTCGGCTCGGGGCTCTGGCCGGGGCGATCTTTGTGTGTTCCTTTTTTGCGTTTCTTCATTTTTTGGCCAGCACGCCCCGGGTCCCGGCACAGCGCCTGTGCGTGGCAGTCAGCGCCCCTCCCTCGGCC